CTGGTCCGGTGAGAACCCGGCGTGCTCCGTCCCGGCTTTGTAGGGATGCGAGGTCAATGGTCTAACGACTACGGCATGCACGAGTATGAGTACACCCCAACCATCCCCCCCTCTCTCTTTCTTTCTCTCACCATGGGCGTGCCGTTGTCCACCATGACCGACCGCCGCTTAGGATCAGATTGGATCAGCTTCTTCACGTCCAGGTCAAGGGTCACGCGCCCCCCGACGGTTCGGCTCAGGATACGCTCCACCTGGTTGCCACCAGCCTACAACAAGCAGCACATGCCGGTGTGTCGGTGTAAGAAGAAGGACTACATACCCCCGCGTCCCCTACACCGGCTACGTGTACCATGGCTAACGGAAACCGATAGTATGATTGAAACATGTAGGGTGCATGTCGTCATACATTTGCTGACCGAATCCATCATGTTGGTAAACTTTGCGCAGCCGCTCCGTGAGCGACAACCAAGTCGCTTTCTCCAGCGTGGTGCATGGTTTCAACCCCTGGCATCATCACCTTAATGGCGTCTCCAAGTCCAAGCCGTGCCAGTATCACCGCGCCGCTGTTGATCTGGACGCCACCCCCGATCCCAGGTTTGACGGAGTCGAACTTTTCGAAAACCTTCACCTCGTCGACGGCCGTGCTTCCTGTGCACAGCGCGTTCGCGAGCGTCAGACCCCCGACCCCTGCCCCCACGATTGCGACACGCTTCACCACAGGCGCGGCCGCCATCACAAGAGGGTGATGGTACTGCTGCGCTAGGGTAGTTCGAGACGAAGCCCTGCGGAGGATGTGGCGGGTCTTCGCAACGTCTGCCGAAGGGCCACACGAACCCGCGCTAGGAACGACGAAGCCCGTCACGGCAGACAGCATGCATGCCGCTGCCGCTATCGCTGCTGCTGTTCTCGCTAGCGGTGGCATCGTTATCGGGTTGCAGCTGCAGCTGCCGCTGCATGATGTGGGTGCATGTGTAACAACAGCAGGACATGTTTGCCACCCCCTCCGCACAGACGCCCACCTGTTTGACAACCCGTCTTGTCCGCGGAGCCCCCACTCTCCCAACAAGCGCTGTGCTGTGCTCCACCACAGCAATCAATCCTGTCGCGTGCATGTGGCTCGTCTGAATCGTTGGCGTGCAGACGAAAGGGTATATCACACCTTCCTCGCTCGGATTTGTCGTCCCCCTTCTGTTCATTGTTTTTGGTGCTCCATCTTGTCGAGAAAAAATTGCGGGAAAGTGGAGAGCTACTGCTGCAGTAGGAACAACCGCAGCAGCAGCCGAGTCGATAAACCAACATGTTTTCCAACCCGCAGGAGCTTCGCGAGCGCGCGATGCGGGCCCAGCAGGGAAAGAAAGACGACACTACTTCCTTGGAGTCTAAGCCGAGCGCGGAGGAGGCCTCAGGTGTGTGAGGCCACGGGAGGGTATATCTTGTACACTTTGAATCTGCTGCCTGTGTGCCTTGCATCCAACGGCGGTCAAGACTGACTGCCAACAGCAGTACAGTCGACCCCGCTTTAAGGACGCTCGTGTTGGGGAAACTCCCCGCTTCAAAGAAACTTGTTTTGCTCAGCACCAGGGGGCCCGTACGAATGTACCATAATGGAGTACCCTTATTTTTTCTGCCGCGTACCCCCTTTTGTCGTGTCCTGCGGGCGTGCGGGCCGCTCTGCACTAGGCCCTGACCTGTTATGCTTATTTCTTAACATTTTTATGCACGTTTTTCGGCACGTGCGTAAGCTCAAAAGGCGACTTATGCACGCTGGTTATGCTCAAAATGGCGACTTCTGCACGCTGGTTATGCTTATTTTCCTCGCGTGTTCTCGTACTTGTGCACGCTTTTCTTCGTTCCTCGTGCTCGGGCAATGCTTGTTTTGGTCGTTAATGCTCGACAAATGCGCCCGCGGTTGGCTTCGTCGACACGCTTTGTTTATTATGCCGTCTGCCACCGTCGAAATGTATGAATGATTGTGTTGCTGTATCACAGCGCAAATTATCTTGGACTAGCCTGTCAGGGAATGTGTTTTCGACGCATCCGACTACTACTATATACTTTCCCGCATTCCCTTCACCCTTGGTCATCCGTGATCGCCATTCGGCAGACAGAGTAAATATATTTATTTCTGGAATCAATCGCGGTAAAATACCTGAAGCAATATAAATGCGCCTCCAACAGCCCCTCCCTGCTGTAGCAGTGTCAAACCCATCAGAACACCAAACCAATTGCTGTCAGTGCCTCTAGAATCATGGACACATTCCATCCCTCCCCCATAATTAATTGTCGATGCAACGAAAAATAGCAATTAATTTCAATCAAAACAATCAACAGCCATAGCAGTGCGGGCTACTAGGCTGTTGCTGTAAAATGGAACACCGCTGGCATACCACGTAATGGCCACTGAACCAAACAGCAGGGTTGCCCTGTTTTCTGCAAAAAAACGCACAAACGTGAAGAAAAAAATTCAAGCCAAAGCCATGGCACACATTCAATTCCAACAGGAATAAAAATTCGCACAGGCACTTGTGACTTCCGTAGAATTCACCTGAAAATGCAGTACCANTCCCCCATAATTAATTGTCGATGCAACGAAAAATAGCAATTAATTTCAATCAAAACAATCAACAGCCATAGCAGTGCGGGCTACTAGGCTGTTGCTGTAAAATGGAACACCGCTGGCATACCACGTAATGGCCACTGAACCAAACAGCAGGGTTGCCCTGTTTTCTGCAAAAAAACGCACAAACGTGAAGAAAAAAATTCAAGCCAAAGCCATGGCACACATTCAATTCCAACAGGAATAAAAATTCGCACAGGCACTTGTGACTTCCGTAGAATTCACCTGAAAATGCAGTACCAAACGAAACAGAAAAATAGCAGCAACAAATAAGAAAGCACCTCGAATACGATACATCGGACTCATATCCAAGACACCACAAACCACAAACACACACCATGGGCAAAACAGCGAATTCGCGTACTCCCGTACTACTACTCTCCGCGCCCTCTATTGTACTTGAGAAGGGCAGCTGCGGCAATGCGATCGCTGAAGCTCGACTCCTGCCTCTGGTCCATACACGCACGCACAATAGAAAATACTCGCTCCATGAAGGCAGAGGATGGCTGAATCAGTGATGTGCGGTGTGTCCTGTGTTCCTGTGATCTTGGTCTTCGGTCTTTGGTCTTTGCGTCTTTTCTCTCCTCTCTCCTTGTACAAAAGTCAAGTAGTTTAAATCAACAGAAATCAAGGTTGGTTTAAACAACGAATGTTATTAATTAACACCGAATCTCCAATCTCCAGATCTACAATTTGTTGTCTGATCTGTGAACTTGAAACCAAAGAGTTCAAAGACCAAGAGGCTTTGAAGGGAAGAAAAAAGCTCTGTTTTGGTTACAATGAGCTGTCTGAGCGTGTGAGGCATCCCTTACCCCCATCTCACTCGTGCATAATCACCGCTATGCACGATAACCCCTGTGATGCACACGTTTATGCATAAATACATGTGTGCGCGCTCCAACTTATGCTTTTGCTTATGCACGAAAAGCCCAGTTATGCACAAACATGAGCATGCATAAAAGGTCAGGGCCTACTCTGCACGAACCACGCACCACAGCGAGTGCAGAAGTAGCGACGCAAAGACAGCGGAAGTAGCGAGCGTTCTGCTGCTGCAGCTGTAACAGGGTGTTGGTATGGATAGATTCCTCCCACCTACCGGCGGTCCATCTGATGCCGCCAAAAAAAAGTCGCGCGTAACCTCGTCCTCACCGAGGGCGAGGTTATCTCTCGCTTGGAGGACGTTCGATCCCACAGATAACGCCCGCAGTTACGAAACGTCAAAATCGGTTCGAGCCTCAACCCCTACTTTTGGGTCCAAGTACCGGCCCAAGTCGTCCATTTTCGTAAATGACATATCTTCTTCCTTTCGACTGTCGCATCCTCCCAATTCTCTTTTTGCTTAGACTAGACTACAACAAGTACTTCGTATTTCTTTTTTCTGTCTTTTGATCTCTGAGGACAATCCACATCATCAAGCCCTCAAGAGAGGCGGTGGAGAGTGCCATCAAACCCGTACAACAGCGGAGAGCATATGGTTGTCCGCGGTGTGTGGCAGTACCACAGTACAGCACTGACTGTGAACAGCAGGGGCGCGGGGGGGGGGCGGAGGGGACTCTACCCCTTGCAAAAAAAAATGCACTTCTGTTCAGCTTGGGAGGGGGTTGGGAGCACCGCAGATTTCTGATGTCATGGGGGTATCGCACCATCATGTTTCTTATTGGGGCGTTTCTTACGTTGTGGCCGAGATTGAGCTATGTTTCTTAGCCCTTTTTGCTTGTTTTACGTACAAACTTGAGCCTTTTTTCTTCACAGAATTTTCTTAACTGCGGGCGCTATCTGTGTTGGTACGCGAAGGGAAGGGGTACCGAGTACCGTGAGACGCAGCACCTTCTTTCGAAGACCGTTCATTCGTTTACTCATGGAACTCAACAGAGCCGTTGAGCCAAGCCGCGGGGGGAGGTTCAGGGAACTCTTCGCGATATATACGTGGAAGGAAAAGCCATCCAGGTAGCTTTAAAATTTTGGTCTCCGCCGGGACAGTGATATGTACTGGTGTTCCTCGGTGCGACGCTGGAATCCGTTCTTTTTTTTTTGTTTCACAAGGACGAGATAAATATATTTCTACTTGGACTTTCCTCCTCCTTCGGCTGCCAGCTATGCCGTTCATTAGTTGGCCAAGTACAAACTGGTGTGCTGTAGTTGTTTGCAACACGTCCCCAAATGCTGTAAATGTCATTCTAAGTACTGTAAATATGTTCGACGTCAACAAACGGTTGCCAGTCGTCGCGGCGATGCTGACTTTTCGTACCACCCCCTTCCTTAGCAAAAGACGCGTAGTTTGAGGTAAAGCATGCCTCCATTGACCCCGGGGATGGTGAGCTATCGTCCCCTGAATTTTAAGGACGCAACCCCGCTCTAAGGGCGCTTTTTTCGGGAAAAACCATGTGCGTCCTTAAAGCGGGGTCGACTGTAGTACTGCATTGGTTGTCGGTGTTGGCGGGTTCCTTGACACGAGAGAAGCCTTTCAGTACCTGCTGCTGGCCGTGCCTTGCTCTGGTACATGCTGTTTCGCTTTTGAGGCGTGGGTTTGCTCGCCATCCCGAAATCGCTCTCGGGCACACATGACCCCCGACCACAGGTACAACCCGCGCAGCGGGTGGGATAGATGCGGCTCTGATCTGCCGTTGGTAGAGCCAAGACGCGCTTTGTCGCACATGAACGCATCAGACAAACATGCTCCCAGCATCATGACCGCAACATGCCGCGGCTCGTGGAGCGGGGCATCCCCTTGACTCAGCATGGACTGTTTGCAGCAGGAGCCTGCCGTTTTGTGTTGCCTGAACCCCTGTGACACAACGCATTCGATGCGACAAGTCTTCACTATTGCTGCGGAAGTACAGTAGCAGCGACACTCGCCTAACCCGTACCTCGACCTGCTTTCAGGTGCATGTCGGCTACAACCACTTTGATCTAAAAACACTTGCCCCTTTCTCAGGAAATGCAGTTCCTTGTAGCAGTACTGCATTCACATACGTATACATGCACACCGATTCCACCGTCCCGCAAATCGTCCTCTCAGCAGACGAAGGCGCCGCCGCCGACGCCGCCGCCGACGCCCGTATCGCCGATGCCGGCGTGGAGGAGCAGCAGATACCAGCAGCAGCAGATGGGAAGGGCGGGGACGAGGGCGAAGCATCCCCGCCCTTGATGACGCCCGAGCAGGTGGAGGAGTTTTTCGAGAGAACGATGGTCAGGTTAACGTCGCCAGAGGAGCGAGAGGACATCAAATCCAAGGTACGTGAACAGACTTTTTGAAATGTTCCTTTCAGACGCTTTTCTCGCAGACGGCTCGTGATTGGGTTTAAGGGGGCACTGGGGATCGCAGTGTTCCTCTTCAAAAATCCAGGAAACGCCTGCATATCTCATTTTTCCAAAGTCTAACTCCAGTACGAAACTTCAATCGGAAGTTAACCGCCCGCTGACCCCCTCTCGTGTACAATGTTATTATAGTACCTGAGATTCTTGCCCTTGCGATACAATGCAGACTAGCGGCCCGCGATTTCCAAACGATCCTTTTATCATCGAGATCGGCGAGCTACAAGCAGGTTTTTTGCAGCTGCTGTGCGGTCCGATTGTGAAACGCTTCAAGCATACAGCAACGGCGAATCAGCGCCGATGTGAGTCTGTGGGGCCGCGAACTTCAGCGCAGCTCTTCCCTCACATGTGCTTCTCGTCGCCGCAGTCGATTTGCATGCCTGCGGTGATGTATATCTATGTACTGCTGTAGGTCTAGCCAGAAGCAAGGGTGCTTGAAGCGTTTCACAATCGGACCGCACAGTAGCTGCAAAAATCCTGCTTGTAGCTCGCCGATCTCGATGATAAAAGGATCGTTTGGAAAATCGCGGACCGCTAGTCTGCAGTGTTTCGCAAGGGCTACAATCTCAGATACTATAATAACGTTGTACACGAGAGGGGGTCACCCGGCGGTTAATTTGCGATTGAAGTTTCGTACTGGAGTTAGACTTTTGGAAAACTGAGATATGCAGGCGTTTCCTGGATTTTTGAAGCGAAACACTGCGATCTCCAGTGCGCCCTTAAGGGCAAGCAAGCATTTTTAGGGCATTTCGCTTGCTAGAGAAAGTTGTCGTTGAGGTGGTTGTTTCCGCTGGGACGTGCTCGTTGGTATCGTATTGCGTGTGTTCTTACGGTGTACGGTGCGTGGACATCTTTGACGACGTCGGTTTCGAGGCGCGATAAAGAGGAAGCCTGCTATGCGTGCTGCTGTGGCATGTACATGAAACACACGGACGGTGCCAGGTCCTAGAGCAAAACTCGCTCAGAAGCATCATGGGAGTCCTTGGCGCACCTTTGTAGAATGGATGGTTCATGCCGCATACTGTGCGTCCCCCCCCCCCACCCCCTACTCTCTCTGTCGCGGTCCACTGCTGCTGCTTGCTTCCCGAACGCCGGATTCCCTGCCCAGTTCGCCGACTCTTTTCCCGCGATGTGTGCTCTGACGAAGCTGCCTGCATATCGTCACCACGCCCCGTACGTGATTAATGTGACGCCTCACGCCCTTCTTTCGCTGTCCTTTCCGCTTTGCCTGCTGCTGCTGCTGCTGCTGCTGCTGCTGCTGCTGCTGCTGCTGCTGCGGCACGATGGTCTTCGTATCGCTGGTCTGTGGCGGTCGTTCCCGCTTGCTTTCTTGTCCCGGCCGCGCGAAAAAAAGGTGACGGTCGACGTTCGGATCCCGGCTCTGCTGATCAAAATCCAGCACGAGGAGTTGGAGAAGATGGGGGTGAGCAAGGAGGACGGGCAGCAGGCGCTGAACGAGTACACGAGGACCACAGCGGCGGGGGACAAGGAGGCTCACCAGAGGGTGGAGGACTTCACGCATACGTGAGGGACAGGGTAGAGGGGGTGAGAGAGGCAGAGACAGAGACAGAGAGAGAGAGACAGAGACAGAGACAGAGACAGAGACAGAGACAGAGACAGAGACAGAGAGGGACAGAGAGACAGAGGGAGACAGAGAGATACAGAGAGAGACAGAGAGACAGAGACAGAGAGGCAGACAGACAGACAGACAGAGAGAGAGAGAGAGACAGAGAGAGAGAGAGAGAGAGAGAGAGAGAGAGAGAGAGAGAGGGACAGGGAGAGAGGGAGGGATAACGAGCACGCTGTTGAGTGCGGGGCATGGGAGTGCGGTGTGGGATGACATCGTACATGCGTTTTTTTTGTCTTGGCCCGGCCCTACAAGCGCGTGCGTGACGCGTCTACGCTACGGTTGGGGTGGTAGTTCGGGATGTGACGGCGGGGGATCGGCCGGACCAGGTCCGATCGTCGGCACGCTTTGCCTTTCGGCTGTTGACGTTGGTGCTCTCAGCCCTACCGATGGCGAGGGCGGAGTGCTGTAGGAACCGTGGCCTCTGATAAATTTGCCCAACCACGCTACTGCTGTGAGCTGAGAAAAACCAGTTTGAGCGCTGCAGCGCGTCCACATTGTCTTCCTCCGTTTCAACGCCGCCGCCTCATGGCCAAGCGGACGTTTTGGGGTGAATTATCATTTGC